TTTGAGTAAATATTTGTTCTCGTTCTTTTAAGGTGGTCATATGTATAAAATGTGTGTGTGTTTTCACAGGTCCTTGAAAAGAATGTGATAATATATTCCTATGAAAGGAAGTAGATAACATATGAAACCATAATAGATAAGGTTGGGATAGAAATGTACTTTAGTAGAAGTATGGCTGATGGCAGCTTGGAAGAAAGGTAACTATCTGAAAAGGAAAACCCAATTATCAGAGAAGGAGAGGTGTAATAACTGGAGCTATGATGCTTAGAGTCCTCTTGGAAAGGAAAGCTTAATAAATTAGTCCATTGGTATTGTTAGAGTGCACAGGGCCCAAACTGTAGTGTTCACCTCTGTTGGAAAGAAATAGCTCTTACCTTTTGTAGTAGCATGTGTTTCTTGATTGGTGTTCCACTTATAACAACTGAAGTGAAATTATTGGATAAAAATGCAATTTTGAGGAGCTGACTATATATCTAAACAAGTAACATGCAGAAATGTTCATAAATGTAATGCCTATAGTTCTGGATTGCTCAACTGAAAGGTCAAAAATGCTCGTAAATGTAATGCAGAAGTTTATTTTATAAGCTTCTCTATAAATATCAGTTAGTCCTGAATATGTTCAAATTACAGTGAATATGTTGAATTAGAAGGCAATGTTAACACTGTCTATATCTACTGAATCTGTAGTAACCTATATTATACTGGAGTCCTTAACTGTATTTTTGAAAACCGATACTTTAAAATGTCGTAAGTATTTTCTTGTCGTAAGAAATCATGAAAACTGATTTCTTGTTACAGAAATAGTGTCTTTTCTTACCTTTATCTTCCCTGCAAGAAAGCCTTTCTCTGTATAAATTCCTTCATGTTTGAATGATATGACTGAGCTACTGCTAAGTCATGAACTAGTCTATTGGTTAAAAACTTCATGAGCGGTAGAGTTATCTTCTGAAGCCTGCATGGCTTGCAAATTGTTTAATTGCAGTTCTGTACCTCCTTTTGAGGACCTGAGAAAATAACTGAACATTTGAAAGAATAAATCGGTGTTGAGAGATGTGAAATCATTTTTTTTTCTTAATGATTTTTTTTTAAAAGCACTGAATGCCTCATTTAAGAAGGCTGAAAGTGACAAAATAGCTAATAAATTTTGGAATATAGATATCATAATTGATACACAGCTTTAGAAGTAATTGACAACAAATTAAATATACATTTGACAGATGAGGATTTTTCATATATTTCAGGGAAAAGTAATAGCTTGAACAGTCTGATCTGTTTCTATGAGGAGGAGTTAGGCCAAAAATATATCTCAGGTAAACAGAGTGAAGATGGATGTTTAATCAGGGGGAATAAGAGAGCTTTGTGGAATTCCTTGTCACAACAAAACCATGCACAATTTCTTGATTTATTTTTAGTACATCTTCCTGAATGTTTTTGGTCTTAATTAACTTGAGTTCCTTGTGGCAAAGATTTTTTTTTTTTTGCTATTTTCTTTTTTGCTTTTTTCTTCCTTCTTTGTTCTTTTTTTTTTTGCTTTTTTCATTTGTTTTATGGTATTAGGCACTAGATCAACTCCTAGGTTTAGAACTTTGTTTGTTCTAAGCCTAATTTCCCAGATGTGCTGTAATAGAAATAATCTAGTTTGCCCTCAGGAATTGAAATTGTTTCATATTGAGAACTCCTAGCATAGATTTTGAAGATTTATTTATTTTTCTCTCTCTCTCTCTCTCTCTCTCTCTGCCTTTTTAAGATGTTTCCATGATCATGGTGTTGTCCACAGCCCTGGGCGATAATTAATCCTGTCTCAAGGAAATTTTCTACTGTTTTACCTGATAAGTAACCTGTCAGATTATTCTCACAGGTTACCATGCAGTAATTATGGGGTTGTCACTTGGCCGTCACTAGAAATATTAACTCATTGTATCCCTGTCTCCTGGGGCCATCTCCAGTTCAAGACAGATGTTCAGTTTTGTTTCTATATCACAAGTATTTTTCACATAAAATAAATTTGTGCATCCATTACACCTTGGTTCTTCCTGTTTTGTTATGAACTACTGTGATGAGAAGTTGGGACTGTTTTGAGGCTGGGTTTCTTTAAAATGTATATGTTCTATTCATACAAACAATCCTTATAGTCCGTTGAGTCATTTCAGTGATTCCAGATTTAATATATTGTGTTTATTTTGTGAGGAGCTACCTGGAGTGGTTGGCTGAAAAGCATGTAGTCATATATTTGCCAGTTGATAAAAGTTGCGGAGTTTCCATTAAGTAATCTGTTGCAGAGACTTATATCTTCATGGGTTAGTAGGGGGTTAATTCATGACTGAGTATTTGGTAATCTAGATTTTACCCTGAAGTTACACTCTCTTGACATTTTCAGTAGTCTATTTTTGCTTTAATTCGTTAAGAACTTGTTGGAGGCTCATGAAATCTGAACTCTCTTATGGTAACTGCCTTTTCTGCACTTTGTGGGTTCTTGTAACTTGGCTCTTTATACGTAACCTGAGCTATAGCAATCAGTGCTGAAAATATTACAACTTACTAATGGCAGCTGCTTTGATGTTCTGCTTTTACTATTTCACTCATCGCTTCACCTAAGTGAGAAGTGCTGGAAGTGTGATCTTGTAGACTGGGGTAAATAAATATGCATAACAGCTGATAGCTTGTGTAGCTTAAATAACTGCTTTCTATTTTCAGAGTATCGCGTATAATTTGTGCTTTTTCTATTAAAAAAAACCCGGCACTAACAAACAACTCATAGCTTTGCAGGGCAAGCATTCTTCTCGAGAATTTCCTATTTTCAAAATCTTCATAGAATCAGAGAACTTTCCTTTTACACATAATGATTTTAAATTTCTTAAATCCAAAATCTCAAAATAAATACTTTTTAATTAGAAAGAGTGAAACATATAATCTAACGTTAGAATTATTGTATTCCAATACAAAATAAAATAAAAATGAAGCAATTCCTTCATTTCAAAAATTTTCAAAAAGAAAAAATATTCATATATCAGAATATAAAAATTGTAAACTGTTTTTAGTTTGGATCAAAACTTGAGGGGAAAAAAGGCATTATGTATTCTGATGGAATGTGTTTGAAAGTTTCTGTGGCCAGCTTTTAGAGCATATATGTCCTGATAGGTACATCCTGCTGTATTAGTTATACTTTTTCCAGTGAAGAAGCTGATAAACACCATTTAGCCAGCATTCTGTATTGATTTTGGGGAATACGAATTGAAACAGTTAAGTTTTACTCTGTAAAGCTTGCAGTGGCTGTAACTTTGGTAAATGGAAAAGTCAGCTCTTTCTTCTTTGTGATAAGTATTGTGTGCTGATAGGAATTGTAGTACATCCAGAATGGACTCCTCCTTCATTTGAGAGGGGAAAAAAAGTGCATTTACTCAGAAAGCTTCATCTTGTGGAGCTCACCCACTGTAAGTCTCTGTCTGGAAATAACAACTGGGGGAAGAGGGTATATTGAAAAGTCCTTCCTTTAAATCCTTCAGAAAAGATCTGTTGTTCATAATGAAAGTGAATCAAAAGGCTCTAGTGGTTTAAATTTGATATGCTATTGTAATAAAATGTTAGCAGCTAGATAAGTTTTAGCAGAATTTCATTTTGTGCTGAATGTTACTGTTAATAACAAAAGTGTAGAGAGTTTTGAGACTAATGTTGTAAAGTCTAAACATTATGTGTATATATATATATATATGTGCACACAGGAAACCTCGACCTGTCTCTCAGCTGGTTGCACAGCAGGTTCCCCAGCAGTTTGTGCCCCCTACACAATCAAAGAAAGAGAAAAAAGACAAAGTAGAAAAGGAAAAAAGTGAAAAGGAAACAACTAGCAAAAAGAACAGTCATAAGAAAACCAGGTAAAATTTTTAGAAACTTTTGCAGTATTGGTAAACATAATCATAAAAAAGTAAGAAAATGCTCTGCATTTTACTGCTCTGTAAGTGCTGTGGTAAACTCTTTCAAAAATAAAGCTAAAAACTTGTGTTGAAGTTTCATTGTTTTTTAGGCTGCCTATTAAATGTGAAGAAAACCTGCAGTTCGTAACTTTGACCAGAAGATGGAGATCAGCTGAAAATGAAAGAGAATTGGGTACTTTTGTTAAGGGGAGCAGATGTCTTTCTCTCACCATATAAAACCATAGATAGGCAAAAGGGATGATGAGGAGAGCGACTAATTTTATGCAGAACAATAGGAGAGAAAGAGCAAATACCAGGCTCCAGAAGAGTAGGAAAGTAACATAGTCATTGGTATTCTTGCAGAATTGGAATAAATTTTGGAGGCTAAACTAAGGTATTTAATTAATATGTGAAAGGGTAAGGCAAATTTCCTAGTGATAAAAAATCCCTGTGCTACATCTAGGGTACTGCAGGAAACCTTGGATTCTTAGAATTGAGAACATGAAATATGGCAATACAGGCAAGCAGCCATAAAAGCTGGGATTTTGCTGTAGACCAGGTGGAAGGAAGATGTAAACTAGAAAACCAAAGCAGCAGATTTAACTCCAAATTTATCGCAGTTTAAGCATAAAGGTATCATAGGAAGAATGTGGTACCAGGAAGCTCAGAAGCATACAAGACCGGTAGCTTAATCAAAGGTGGGAGGAACTAGTGATTTATTTTATTTATTTATTTATTTATTTATTTACGTATTTATTTATTTTAGTAGGGGGTAGGGGTGGGGAAGCTTTCCAAAGTAGTCCACCCAAGGAAGGTGTCTTGGAATCAGTTCTGTGGAGAAGTAGCAGATGTTTCTCTTATGCCTGAAATAGGATATCAGGATCAGAACCAGGGAGAAATTGTGAGACTAGAGAGAAGTTCCATAACAGTCTTTAAGATAGACTTGGTTAGAGTTAAGGAGACTGAGCTGTTTCAGCAGCAGAATACATTTATTTAACTATTTTTCTTGGGTTTTGTACTCAAAATTTCTAGCTGTACTGCACGCTCAGCTGAGCTGCTTCTGTTATGAAGTATCTGAAGTTAACACAATAAGTTTTAAAAAAGCTAATTAGGTATTACAAATGTAAATATTATAGGTTAAATTGCAACATTACATTAAAAAATGCAAAAGTGAGATAAGGAAAAATGGAGAACACTTAAATAAAAATCTTGGACTAAAATATCAGTATAGAGATTTGCTCTAAGAATAAATATTGGAAACAACTAGGCTGTGGGTTTTTTTGGTTTTGCTTTTTAACTCTTCAAACAGTTCCCTTTTTTTTTTTTTTTTTTCCTCCTCAGAATTGTTTTACTAGATAGGATAGCAAGTTAAGAATTATTGATTAGTTTAAGTAGATTTCATCAATAAACAAGGATATCCTTTTCTCTTTGCCCTAAAAGTTACATATTTCTGCTGGAAACAGTCATGCCGGTGATGCAGGCTGATAATGCTGATTTTTTTTTTTTCTTCTTCTTTTTCTTCTCTCCATTCCAATGTTACAGAATAGCAGATTTTCAGCCTCCTCTTAGAGTCTTCCTTCTTGGGGGAGTGAGATGTCAAGCCCTATATCTGTCTAGTAATGGGAGGGCATGAGGTGTTTCAGCTGAAATGACTGGGAACCTACTGGAACTCTACTTGAAGCAAAGTCACGTGATAGAGTGAAAGTTAGGACTTTGATGTTAAAACACCTGCTAACAAGTGATGTCATACCAATTTGTTTTATTGCAGCTTGACCTGGTGACAGCTGTGGAGTCAGTTAAATTCATAAAGCCATGCTGTTCTCAACAGCTTGTGCAGAATATAATTCATAGCATTCTTCTCTGGTTCTGTATGTTGTGAAAATCAAATGCTAGACAGATTAGATGAAGAGACTTACCCAACAACACTCTGTGTAATACAGAGCTCTGTGCATAACTTAAATCACAGCGTATGCTAGGGATACCAGAATTATACTCAGAATTATACAAAGTCCAGTCCAAACAGTGTACTAATCTTAGTGAGGTTTTGAAATGAAAAAACCCACTGCAAGCTAACACTTGCAGAGTGCAGAAGAACTTGTAGTTAAAACTGTCGGTGCTGTTGATTTCGAAAAACACAGATGAGCTTGTCAGACATCAGATTTTTCATTATTAAATGCTGTTCTCTACTTAGACTTGCTGCTGCAGAAGGAGATGTTTCTCTGGGTCGTAACTTCATAGCTACAATAATAAAAGACAAATTTTTAAAACCAAAAACCTTAAAATGTGTAACAAAACTGTATTGCTGCACGGTTGTATTATGCATAAAGTCAAGTTTAACATAATCTTAGGAAAAGGTGGAAAAGTCAACATTTTATTTTTGTCTTTCTCTATATTACAACCATTCTGATTTAAAACTTAACTGGAAATGCTATATAGTAAACTTGTGATATGTTGTTATTTTATGTATTGCTTGTTCCACACAGCAGCTGATGGTACATGTATCTTCTCTGGAGCTCATTTAAAAAGTAGGGGGAAGACAAGATAATACAAGGGTATGGGTGCTTTTAATATGATTATCTGTTTTATTTAGGCCAAGATTGAAAAATGTGGATCGAAGTAGTGCTCAGCATTTGGAAGTTACCGTTGGAGATCTGACAGTCATAATTACAGACTTTAAGGAGAAAACTAAGTCACCACCTGCTTCCAGTGCCGCTTCTGCGGATCAGCACAGTCAGAGTGGTTCTAGCTCTGACAACACAGAGAGGGGAATGTCCAGGTCATCTTCACCCAGAGGAGAAGCCTCATCGCTGAATGGAGAATCTCATTAAAGTTTATTTCTTCCAGTTTCTTTAGTCTCTTCTCTTCAAAACATGCAAATACATAACTTCTGCCACCTGTTACCACATTTTCATGACAGATTATCCGTGCACAATTGGTATGTTTACTGGAACATAGTTTATGCAGTTAAAAAGTGCAGTGGTAGAAATGATAATTTAAATGCCATCTACAAATGCTTACAAAGCATTTTCAGACCGACTTTTTAATCTTCATGTGTAAAGGTGCCATGAAAATGTGGTTTGAATGTTCATTATGCAGTGTTATTGGTAAGTCCATTTTCACTTTTAGTTTAGTGAATTCTAACACAACTCTTGGATTCTCTACTATTGGCATGTACTGAATTTAAATTTTTATAACATAGTTCAAGCTGCCTAAATATGTATTATTTGAGAATTGTGAAGCATAGTTATATGTATGCAAGTCAAAGATCAACTTAATCAACTATTGCTGCAACAGAATTTTCATAATAATTATCTTAAAAACACCTGCTGGTACTTGGTGTGGTTAAATAGGAAAATGTTATTAAATAAAACATTTCTATGAATTTTTGCCAATGTTTGACACATTTTACTAGATTACTGTTACTGAATTATGTTGCTGGTTTTACCAATTTTTTTTTCACACTTAAAACACTTATTGTAATGTTTACAAGCAAAATAGAAAACATTCTAAGGATTGATTGGTTAGCTTTATAATTCAGGTGAAGTACTACATTGTCACTATACACTGGTATTCTATGTTTTGTAACAAGTGTATTAAACCTCAAATGACTAAGCATTTGGCAAAACTTACATCTGGAAATATGAAATTTTGAAAAAGCTTTAAAAATAACCAGAAGTACAGTTCTCTTTTCTGTTTAGTGCTGTTTCCTTGCCCCAAGTTTATGTAGTGTCATACAGTCACTTACCATTTCATTACAGAAATATTAGATGTTGCACAAGAATAAGGAAATAACAATACTATTACTTTTTTATTCTTGAATCAACTTCTTTCAATTTGATTTGGCCCTGTAGAAAAGATTATGTCATAAATCATATGAAAAAAACTCTGCACTCTACGGCATAATTTGTCAGCATTTACGCACTTAGCAATATACTGATACAGAGCAGAACTATTTACAGTCCCATCTGGTATTATGTAAAATTACCAATAAAATATTTTTGTGAATACAGATTTTGCATTTTTGTTTACAACCAATAAGTGTTTTGATGCACACACACGTACGCATTCATACGTGCACACACATGAACGCACACACACGAACACACACACACACACACACACAAAATCCCAGTATAGATGTAAAATTAGAGATTCAGATTCAGTACAAAAGTCCATTTGATTCTCCTCTTAGTGAGGAAGTCCACTCACATCCCTGTGATTCTTCTCTTTCATCCAAAATATATATTTCTATCCCCTTATAAAAGTTGGATGGACCTTTTGGTAGTGAATCCAGCCCTAAATTATTACCAACCTATGGTACATCTTTGTAACAGCTAAAACAATGGATTTTTGTAGCCCCTGACAATTGTGATGTTTGGTGGTTTCTTGTAGTAATGTATTTTTCTGTTTTTAATGCAGTACTTCTACAGGCATAATAGTACTGTCTATTTTGTAAGATGCTAATTGTGAAATAGTTGCATAAAATGAAAGTCTGATGTGATATCTGAGAACATACATACCTCATTCCTTGGTGTTGCTGTTTAAACTTTTTAGACATCAAATGTTAATTATAGGCTATTTCAGATGAATAACTACTGACCTGTTTATTATGTATTTTGCTTTATCTTACCAAACAGGATGTTTGTTCATTGATATTACCTGGCCAAATCTTAGTATCTTTAAAACAATGTATTTTAAGGTACTTAAATGTTTTTGGGGCTGGACTGGAGGTCAGAATAACATACACTAGTTTTTAAAAGAAAAGTACATACTTCTCAACTTTATTTTTTTATATTTTATTTTTAGGTGGGACTGTTTGCAGAATATACTGGTGTAATGGATTAGAAGAGAACTGAAACTGTTTAAAGTAAGCAGTTTAATGATAGCAAATCTCATTGCAAGATGTTTTATGAAATGTGCTTCTAATTTAAAATGTAATGAATGCTAACACATTTCATTATTCCTTGCAAGTAAATAATAATCTATCACCAGTAGTTTCACTAAATGAGAATCTTATTTTCATTTAAGTTTACGTGAATAAACCTCCCAGCACCGCCAACAAGAGCTCTCTTTACTTGTAGATATAAGTAGCCATTTGGTTTGGAAGGAAAGAAGAACTGAGTGGCTTTGCTGCGATTCAACTGTCGCTAGAGAATAATCTCAAATACGTGGTAAAAGTATGGTTATAATGAAAAGAATACAGAAAGGTCTTATGGAAATCCCTGTTCTTTATGGAATAAGACTTAAAAAAGCAATTTTTAATGGCAAATATAATACCAATCAGCTAGGATCTAAAAATTGAGCTGTGATGGTCCTAACTGAAAGAGTAAATATTACGTAGCTAGTGTTTACCTTGCAACAATGCCTATTCCGGCATTAAACAAACTTAAAATTATTTTTACCGATTTATGATTAAAGGGATGTGACAATACTGACAACAGAGTAGACAAAATCAGTGGAGTTTGGCAATTTTACTCTGTTCATAATGTTGCAAGTATAGTTTAAATCAACTTCACTTTCATAATTTCTAAATAATTTTGATTTGTAGTAATATTAAGTCCTTTTTCTAACTGTAAATATATTTAAAAGCATCTTTACTCCATTTATAAAAAGTGAAAATCTAATGTTGTAATGTGTTTTGATTAGCTATTTTTTTTCTGTGACTGTTTTCTGCATAAGACCTGTTATTTGTTAAATCCAAAATATGCACCAGTCTTCAACAGCCATACATGCTGGGTTTTTCCATGAAATGATAACCCAACAAAGACAAATGTAATGGTGTTCCATGTAAATAAGTTCCTTTATGTGCTTGTTGATTGTCCAGTTTTAGAAAGGAAAAGGGAAGGGCGGGAGGGGAAAAATGAACTATAGTTAATTCACTGATAAAGTATATGATTGTTCAATTTTCCTAACTGTGCCAGTAATTATAGGTGGCATAAGGAAATGATTAAATATACAGTTGTAGACTATTACCTGTTTTTCTGAAATTGAGTCTGTGTACTGGAGATAACAAAAGTTGTTCTGCTTAGATTAAATTCTGCCATATAAAATCTTGATTCTAAGTGAAGTGATAGTAAAAAAAAAAAAAAAATTACGATCAAAAACTTAGCTTTAACAAATCTTGACATTAAAATTCTTGAAACTAGGAGTATGATTGAAATTTTAACCTATTACACGTTTGTCTAGATATTTGATGTTTTCTAACATAGATTATATAGTCCAAACAATTTTTGAGATTTTACAATTTGTGCACTTTACAATTTTAATATTACAGATAGCTTTTTTTTTTTTGATAGCCATATGAGATAGAATACTTCTTATAATTTGTTTCCAGTAGTTCTTTATAGTGTTCAGGCGGGTCTTCTAAATTTGACACAGCTATGTGGCTCTATGTCTCAAGTGTTTAATCTGTATCTATCCTGTCTCAAAAGCCTGATCGTTTCCCAGATTATGCTGTTTAGTTATGTGTTTGTTATACAGGATGGATATGGCATGGAACTCTCTATTGTATACTCTAGTGTACGTCCAGATTTTTTTTAACTGTATCTGCTGTCACATGCCTTTTGTTGACTATTCTCTACTAGAGAGTCTGGGTATGCTTCCTTTCAAATATCAGAAACTATATGGAAAAGGAAGTTAATTTGACTTAATTTCTCCTCTGGAACAGCAAGTACAATACTTGTAGTAAACTTGGCCTGCGCTTTCTCAGGAATAAGATAGATAAGATTGCTAGTAGACCAGTCAAATATGTTATTTAGCAAAAACATTCATTTATCTTAATGTTAAGATTTGAGTGTGCTGGAAATACTGCTTGTGCTTTAGAATTTTTTTCCTACCTGAAATTATGCCCTAACTTCTGTCAAAGCAGTCTCAATTTGAAGGGGTGTAACTTCACCTACTAGCAAAAGATGCACAGTAGAATCAGCCAAATTGAGAAGAGCTCAGTCAGTTTTCTTCTGTACTGTCAAAATTTCAACAAGAGGGAAAAAAGGCTCAAGAGCTTTGTATAAGATAATCAGATATTGAGCTTAATTTGATATCTAAAGAAAAAAAACTATGTCTTAATGAAAATTAACAGGATTTGACTACTTTTAAAATTCACAGTTTAATCAGAAATCAGTGCTTTACCGAAATTATTATAACTTCCTACCTAGATGGATATGAATGGAAAAAATGGTCCAACACAATGGGTGGCTACATCCTTGTTGATAAATGATCAGAAAGTGAAGTTTAAGTTACTTGCCTAAGACATTGCACAGGAAGATAGTGATATGTCTATGAAAAAAGCCTAGGAGACCAGATGCCACCTTCTCTGCCTAAACTATATCATTGAAATTTCAAACAGTGAAAGAAAATGCAGAAACCAAATAAATTAGCTTCAGATCATACAGTCTTATTGATGCCAGAGCTGTTTTCAACTTCTGTTTGACTATATAGGTGACAACTAGTAGAAATGAACATCCGTTATATAATACTTAATCCCTCCAAAAGTGCTTTCCATCCTATTCTTGTCCCTTTTATTATGGGAAACAGATAAGGATCATCCTAAGGAAATTACTCTATTCACTGACACAGGGAACTCTGTGGACAGTTTAATTTGCACAGGAGGTTTTAGCTGCACTTTAAAGGAGTTAAACCATGCAAGATGAAGAGTAAAAGCATATTCCGTAGCTCAGATTAATAGTATGGAGAATGGTCACGTTCATTCATTGCTGTATCATCTTGGTTTTGTAAGACAAAACGATACATGATCTATTATTCCTTTTCCCATATGTTTAGTAAAACAGCAGTCACCAGAAAGATATTGCTCCAGTAGGAATAGTTTAAAGATTAGTACCCAAAATGTCAGTTATTTGGGGGGAGTATAGCATATCTTCACAGAGTTAGGAATATTTGAGCAAGTCCTTCAGGAATATATCTGCAATATCTAGACCACCTGGAAAAGTTGCCTGATACATCTTTAATTATAGAAATATCTAGACCAAAGGAACTCTAATTTACGTGGAGTTATTGAGAAGAAGACTGAAGGAGAAAAAAAGCATATGAATATGTTTTTGGATAACCTGCTAACCACATGCTCTTAATGTTCTGCTTCAGTATGAGGAAGCAAAAGTATACTCACGAGTGAGACGCATATAACCCGTGCTAATGAGATTAGCTAATTGGCTCTTTACTCCCTTCCCAAGCTCGCTCACCACCCACCAGTAAGATTGTGTTATCTTGTCTGTGGTTCAAGCAGTAAAGACTCCATCATTTCAAGCAAGGTGCCTTGGTCTAGATTCTACAAACTGCAACTTCTGTTCAAAGGCGGTAGCAGGTTCTTTATTCCTCGCTAGAGAAGGTTGGAGTTGTTCAGAATCACTTAGCGTTGGTTAGTTGAGCCAAGCCAGTGGTCAGGCCAAGATTTTACTTTCTGAATATCCACTTTGGGAATGCAGAGATCTAATTTGGATCTGTATGCATCCAATATATAACTGCCTTCCCTGAAAATGAAATAATCTATTTCAAGCTGATCCTTCTTTACAGAGAATAAATCAAAATGCTTCAATGCCCAGCCCACTTCCTGAAGGCACCGACCTCTAAGCAAGAAAATCTGCCATCTGTTTGATCATCCCTTACTGTAATGGCCTTCAGCTCTGAGTTAAGAGATTTCCCTTGATTAGATTAAGATTACATATGTTTGTTGTGTGTCACTACTACCACTGCTAAAGGGAACAAATTCTGATCCCTTTTTATCTTTTTTTTTTTTTTTAGGGAAAAAGTGCATCTATAGTGTAGTGGATGCAGTGAATTTGAAATAATTTACTATATCTTTTGTAAGTAGTGAATTTGACTGTTATTCCCAGTTCTTCAAGTGTATCTTGGTTTCTTTAAGACGAGAAATGGTATGTGAAATAGAGCTTGGAAATCATCTATCAATTTTGTCCTTGTTTCTACATAATTGACTTACTGGAGAGATTCTTGCTGACCAAACTTATTTATAGCAATCTCATAGTATTCAAGCTTTCTGGCTGAGGTAACTGGAATTCTGGAATGGCAATTGCCAGTCTTCATATCCATATTCTTGCAAATGTCCAATTCTGTTGTTGTGAGCTTTCCACATGTGGAAGAATAAGAAAAATGCTTTCTAACTGATGGAGGTGTGACTTTGCCAGGTAAATTGCAGTACATGAAGGCTTTTTGTGAGGTACAAGAAAATGCTTTCTGTGCTGGCTGAAGAAAGAGATACACCAAGGACAGTGCACAGATACTGAGCACTTTTTCAGCTCAGAATTCTCACTCAGAATTTCTGAGTAGGCAGCTTCTGTTTCTAAAATGTCACACAACTTCAGAAACCCTCAGTTCAGCAAGAGGAAAAAGAAAGGGAAAAGCAAAATGTTTTTTCAGAATGATACCTAGAAAAGCCTTTTATTATGGCTTCTTCTTGAGTGTAGTAGTCCCTTCTCTGTGTACTGTATTGGAAATAGGCAGCATCCCACACTCCGTACCAGTGTGTTTTGCTTTACAGTTCTTGAGGCATGTTGATTCCAGTGATTTTTGACCTAAAGATAGATGTAAGGCTTTGTGAAGTTCATGTTAAATACCATCAACATCTCTCTCTCCTAGGTCATGTGTGTTGAAACGGCAGTAGTTTTGATTAAAGAGCTAATCAGGAACCAAACTCCTCTGGTACGTGTAGACATTA